AGTGAGTCAGTGAGCAGGTTGGCCCAGCCTGCAGAATCTGTGTGCAGATTGTACAGGGAACAGGACCTTGGTTTCTCCTTGTCACCACTGGTAATACTTTTGTCCACAAGACAGCTTTGAACAAGCTCATGTGTGGTGTGAACTTGGTCAGCAGCAGCGATATTCAAATTGGCACTTTCTTGGCAAGAAAGCTGGTATTTTAGACAACTCATTAATCTGAGTTGAAATACAATTATAAGATATGTTGTTGTAGAGTCTAGTAATTTATTTTAGCTTTTATCATATGTTTTGTCATCCTTAGGTGCTGTTACTTATTACTGGTGCTCTTTTTAGCCTTTTATTTATAGCTTTACTTTAGCATTCAGCTGGGAAGCCAATTATTACTCTGAGAAGTTACAATGACCATGTTTGAGTGTCTGTATTTTCTGCCAGTTTTCAAGTCTTGAGTTTTCCCTTTATCCTCTCATGATTAAGAAAGGTAGAGATGCTGACTACAGGTTTTTTTTGTCCAAGTCTTGAAACTTTAAACATTCTGGAGGATGTTAGCTTAACTTCAAAAATAGCAAAAGAAATTATCCTTTGTTCAGTAAAATAAGAGAGTTTGATGTACTTTAAGCTTTCACAATGTATAATGGATTTTCTTTAAAAAATAAAAGTCTGTTACAGTGCCTGGAAGATACAGATCTTTAATTTCCTTGAATCTGAGTGTGTGTGCACCAGCCTTTGGGTGGAGGAAGAAATTACTGTTGCATAAGCACAAGAGATTTCACCTTCCATCCCACTTGAAGAACAAATACCTCAGAGTAAGGAGAGGTGGGCTTGTGAATCTGCTGTTCCCTCAGATTCCCACGGGCATCCCTCTTACAGTGTGAGCATCTCACTGCATTAGGCGGATTTAAAAATATACATTTCCCACCGAATTTGCCTCTCATTAGTGAAATACTGCACTGTACAGTGCACAGAGTCTTTTCAAGAGCACTTCAACATACGCAGCTCTCATGGGTGCATTGACTTTAGAACCCAACTCCCACGTAAGTTACAATTCCACTGTGCTTACTCAGTACTGCACCCGGTACATGTGTGTGGGATGGTCTAGCTTTTACTGGACTCATTGTCAAGAAAAAGAAAATATTTTCTCTTCTTTCTAATGCATTAGAAATCTTCGGCAAAATATATTGTGAACAGTTTGTTACTAATGTGTTTGTTGTTAGTACTTTGTCTTCCCTGATATTTTTTTACTTCATTTATTAAAGTAATTTAATGGGTTTATGCCTACATTTTACTCAGATCAGGCTTATAATATTGAAATACAACTTCTTTTCATATCTCTATATAGAGTTCTAGTTTATTTCCCATAAGAATGGTATATATGTCTGATAATGCAATATTAATCTATTGGTAAGATGTATAGGTAGATTTCCCACACATGTTAACTGGAGATAAGTGTATATCTCTCTTAGGAAGTCACTTCTGTGATTGATTCATAACTTAACATGGAGTCATCCTTGAATGAAAATACTTGGTGAAATATAACCTTAAATTCTCTAAACTTTAAATTCCTGGTATCCACAGGGAGAGGTTTGGTTGTTCTCTTAAGTGAATTAGTTGACTATATGAAGTGTTGAGTTTTGCTAAAGCAGGGTTTTTACCCTTGGTACTGTGGCATTTTAGGGCAGGTAATTTTGTGTGGTGGGGCACTGTAGGATGTTTAGTAGCATCTCTGATCTCTGCCTTGCCCACTAGTGCCAGTAGTATCCCCACCCCCAGTAGTGACAACCAAAAATGTCTCCAGACATTGCTAGATGTCTCCTAGGGGCAAAATCACCCCTGGCTGAGAACCACAGCACTAAAGTAATTTTTAACAAGTACCAAGTACATATGATTTCTGGTGGTGGTCTTTACTAAATAGATTTGACTGGTTGTAGCCAATCTGTCAAATTTTTGTGCAAGCATGAATATGAAAGTAATCTTTAGGTGTCTTGTTACAACTTTCATACTTACTACCTCATTTGAGGTACTTTCATACATACTACCTCATTTGAAACTGAAACAATCATTTAGGAGTCTAAGAAGTGGGAGCTTCCAGAAACTGAAAAATAAAAGTTTAAAATGGAATACCCAAAATAATCTTCCTAGAGAAAGCAAACGGAGTCCATGAAAAATGGTTTTTAGTGTTTTAACTGAGCCTTGAATTCTGGCACTGCAGGCATCTCCTTCCTCTCGTCCTGATTTGCCAGGTGCTCCTGGGAACAGATAAACCCACGGCCTCATACCGGCCCTGTCAGTGAGGCTGTTGCCATTTGATGTAGTAAGAACTCCTGCTTCCTTTTACAATTACGCTGACTTTTTTCTCTCTCTAAATTGAAAGCTAGTAGAAGACCTGATCATGTGTCCTATAATTTCTTCATTTTTTCGCCCTGTGGGCTGAAGGTCCTAATGAGAGAGGTGACAGCAGAATAGAGAAGCACAGAACCTACTGCAGAACTTACATAAACATAACATCTTTTTACATTTTGAACTCAAACTCAGGAAGCTCTTTTTAATTTTTTTCCTGTTTTTATTGATAGGAATTGATTTAATTACAAAATTTGAGGTTGTGATGTGTCCTTTTGTTTTAAATTAGGTTGTTGCATCTGCCTTTATCCCTGACCACTTTGAAGTTGAAGGCTTTGTGGTTATCTGACAACCAGTCCCAGCCTCTGCTCACGTTCCAAACAGACACAGACCACACCACAGGAGAGAAGATTTTAACCTGTGTTTTACTTCCTCAGCTGCCTTCTGAACCTACTTGCCAAGGTGAATTTAAGGACAATATTCCCATGCCTAGGAGAATGAACAGGAGCTAATGTTTGTCCATCAGGCCTCTTCACACATGTGATTGTGTTTTGTCTGATCTGCCCCTAGAGTCAGCCCGTGAGATCATTGTGGGAATCCTCTGGGAAGGCTTCCCCACATCCTTGCAGAAAAAAGGCTGCTCACACCTGTTTACCATGTCTGAAATTCCATGAGCAGTCTTTTAGTTTTGAATGATAGCTAAGGCTGAAAATATAATACTCCTAAAAAAAAAAAAAATAATAAGGTAACGGAGTCTCTTATAGTCCAAACTGATAGTATGGAGGATTAAAAACACCCCTGGCATACTGTTTTTAAGCCAGTGAGTTATTTTGAGTCATTGTGTCCTTGTTTTGTAAATTATGTATGGTTATATCACACTAATTTCAAAATGCTATTATAAATCCTTTGTTGAGATCTGGGTTTTATAGAGGAGAGATGGAGTGCCCGGGGGAATGGGAGTCCCCTAAGTGGAAGGCCCCAAAGCCAACTTGGCAGTCTCAGCTATATTAGATGAGCTCTTAAGACTCTAAGAGAAAAATGTGGTACAATGTGTTACTGAGGAAAGTACTGGCATCCCAGACGTGCAGCCACATCACTTTCAGAACATACGAAAGAGAATTAGGAAAAAGGACTCTATAAATTATTATGACATTCTGTAATGAAATATTAAACATTAACTTAGCAGATTATTTTATGTGATCTCAGATAGAATTATACATCATTGAAAAGAAGGGGCAACCCTGTCCCAGGCCTCTTTCTTTTTGTTTTTTATTTTCTTGTTTGTTTTTTGAAGCCAACAGTTAGAGGTTGTGACAGTGGCTTATTTTTGGCATCATAACCCTGTTCTCCTGATAGAGTAGGCCTAGTCAGCCAAGACTTAGCACACAGCAGTTGCCATTCACATGACCTGGGGGGGTCCCTGCTGATGTGATCTTTGTTGCTGCAGAGAATCTGCCTCGCTGTGGTGCGCTGGAGAGCTTGGTAAATGACGTCTCTGATGAAGCCTGGAACGAGCGTGCGGTGAACAGAGTCAGTGCAATCCGATTTTTGGAAGATGAAAAAGAAGAAGAAGACAATGAAACGGTATGGAAATGGAAATTCTGTGCCTCCATGGAAGTTCAAAATTAAAAGCCTTCTAAGATTGAGAATAGCATCTAATAAGGATTTTCCTTATTTTCAAATAGTATATTCTCTATTTTGCCTTCAGCATTTAGGAATTTTTTTAGAAGACAAAAAAGTAGGTTCTTCTAGATACTAAGTCATGAAATGTAAATAAGGCAAATGGAACTTTTGATGTTATTTTGGTTTGAATAACTTATGGTGCTTCTTTTTCTTTATTTGAGATACTTTCCTTTCTTGCCCCCACTATTTTCTTAAAATTGGGAGTTTTTTCTTTTTTATTGTTCCCAGTGAATGAAGTGTCTTCCTGTCCTCCACCCCCATTTACAGCTGTTCCATGTTGACTCCTTCCTCATGTCATGGTGTGGCTTAGTATCAGACTTCTGTCCCGTCTTCATATAACCAGGTCACCTTAACCTCTGTGTACAGTGTTTAGGATCTTAGTTGGATAACCTTAACAAGTTTAGTTCAGAAATCAGGAATAGATTTGAAAGCAATACCCATCCTTACTTTCATCTATACTTGAAATGTCTCTCAGACATCCAACATCTACAGGAGTTGATGACAACTCCTGACATCTTCCTACCAGTTGACTTTGGCTTCTTAAACTCCTTGCACGAATTTTCATAAGCAGAGCTTCGAGGGAGTACTTGCAACCCCAAAACAAAGGGCAGTTTTAAATTATTGGCTATAGTCATTGTTATTCCTGCTGTCACCAAATGAGATTTTAGGCGTTTATAGTAGTAGAGCACAAAATGGGAATTAGGTATGACAAAATAACTTCAGCATAAATGACTCTTTAATTGCTTACCTCAAGACTTGTTAGAGTGTGATGATTTCATCAGTCACTTTATATCTTCAGTAGTGCTTTTCCAGCATTGTTAACCTAGTTTGGTTCCTCCTGAAACTCTTGGATAGGCTATTTAAAAGATATAAATGCTGTTTTTTGAGCTAAAGAGCACGTAACATGTTAAGTAATACAATATTTTAAAAATTTCTCATACCCTGTTACTTCCAGTACTGTGGTCTTTATTAGAAGAATGTGAACTTTCATAAGTCAGTCATAAAAATAGCACACATAGCAGCAAAATAAGAAAAGAAGTCTTTCTCTCTTTCTTCCATTTTTCTTCAACTCCCATGCCTCAAGGGTTGAAGGAAGCCAGAATCACTTTGGGTAATAGTAGAACAAACACTATAATGACTTTAATTTATGATTTTTTATTTACTCCTTTATCTTTTTCTTCCTCCACACCCCATAATTATATCTTAAATTAAAAAATAAAAAAAAATATTTTTACTCTTTATGGAACCCTATTTTTATTTTATACCAATCTCAAATTTTAAAAAGTATTCTTTTATTCCAAAAGTAATCCTTCTATCGTGACTAGGTAAGTTCCATGAAACACTTTCATCTTACATTAACTACCAGTGAGCAGCTGATAAATGCGCATGGCTACAAAAAAAGCTTTCCCACCCACTGTAACTCAAAATTTCTAAGAAGGTAAGATTTGTATAGGAATGCTAACGCCTTGAATCTGCATGTTTTGAAAAAGTAGTGGGACAAAACCAAAACACTCACTCCACTGTTTGTTTTTAGAGAACACTTCTAAGGCGAGCCACTCCACACCCAGGGGAATTAAAGAACATGAAAAAGACAGTAGAGAATTTACGGAATGATATGAATGCTGCTAAAGGACTGGATTCAAACAAAAACGAAGTCAATCATGCCATTGACCGAGTGACCACGTCTGTGTAGAGAATCACCTCCGAGTTTTACCTCCCGTGTCTTCCCCTGCTGGCTAGACGACCCCGTCTGCTTCTGAGGAGTCTCACGCAGTCCCCTGTCTTAGCAGCACCCGCGCAGGCGCAGCGTCGTCTCCCGTGGAGCCGGCATGCCGCTCCCGCCCAGGAAGTGCCTTACTCTCATCCCTCAACTAATCACTGCACTAGTGGGCTCCCGGCGTGATTTTTAAAATTTCAGTCGTTTGTACTTAGAATACACTACTGTAAACATGTGACCTTTGTTTTTGTCTTATGTTGGGGTAAGGAAGAGCAGGAAGGGGAATTTTTATCCTTCTCCCTTGAAGTGCTGGGACATTTCGAACCCAAGTTCTCTTGGACCTATTGATGAGAAATAGTTTTATGTATGAGGAAAAATTGATACTTTTTAAACCTTTTCTGGCAGCTCAGATGGTGTAAATTTTAAGATTTTGTATAGGTATTTCGTAACAAAAGATATGTATTTCTTTTTTGTTATCTTGAAAATGGTACATATTTTAGTATTTGTGCAGAAAAACAAACCAGTCCTAAAGTATTTGTTTTTATTTGTACCATCCACTTGTGCCTTACTGTATCCTGTGTCCTGTCTAGCCAGTTGTGAGCAGTGGCATCCTTGAGCAGTGAAAAGAGAACGGAATGTGGTACTTAGCAGTGTTGGATTTTAATCAGTAATCTACCTGGTGGATTTGTTTTTAACCAAAAGGATGAATTACCAACAATTTGTAAATTATGTACGTTGATTTTTTAAAAAAGATGAACCAAAGGATTAGACTGCTATTTCATTTCTTACACTTTAACTTTTTATGAGTCTCTTCTTATGAGTGCAGTGTCAGACTGCACCTACTCTGAAGGTGTGTGCCATTTGTAAAATAAAATAGAGCAGGAAAGCACAAAAAGAGAGAACTGGTTCAGAAATTCAGTGGGTAAATAAATTATGTACTGCAAAAGTATGATTTCTATTAAAGGAAGCTTTAAAAGTTTTATATCGAGATATAAAACCACAATAAAGGAAAATAACCTACTATGCTAATAGGAATGTTGCTATCTTTATAAGTGCAATTTAATTTGTAAATAGAATTTGAATCAAAGTATAACAGAATACTGCAAGATTTAATTTTAAGTCTGCTAATTTAAGGGGTATGGGGTTGTGTTTTGGTGTGTTTCTGTTTCCTTTTTGTATGCTGTGATAAAAAGAGAGAAGAAAAGTACCAGTCACTGTGTGGTACCTAGGAAAATCATGTTGGTTTTTTTGCTTTTGTTTTTGTTTTCCCCTCCATGAAATAAACTCACCCTGGATATTGGCCATACACCATTTTAAAATTAATTATTACTTTGCATGTTCAAATGATAGCAGGTAGCCAAACTTTGACAAGGCACTCCCTCCATTAACTATCAAAATTACTGGTCAGTTTTGAGTAACTTCCTGTGGGACTTGCATCCACATGTCATTTTTCCACACAGGACAGAATGCAGAATTCCTTCACCTCTGGCTCATAATTTTGGGTTGTGGCTATCTGACTAATTGGGCTCATTAGAAACCTGTTTTCAACCAACCAAAAGTGATACCTTCTTTTACTTCTACATGTTTACTTATTGGGTTCACTTATCTGTTTAGGTTATGTGTATGTACAATGTATAAGTATGTATTTTTAAAACTATTGAGCTGAAAGTACATGGTTTTTGACTAGCCAGTTTCATACCTTGCTCCCTAATCTGGAGGTACCCATTTTCTTTTCTCCATTTTGAGATTTTGGCATACAGTGTTTTGTTTTAAGCCTATAAAGATGATGCCACTAACTCATGGGCTGAATAAAGATAAACAAATTGGTTTTATTCAAGGAGAGTTGTCTTGACACTGAAGAACAAATAGAGCTTGTGTGGTGTTTTTTGTTATTTTCATATAAAGCCATCCATTTTTGCTCAGTTATCTCTTATCATGGCTTTAGTGGAATTGAGGTGGACAGAATGGGGTGTGTGTGTGTGCACACTTAAATTTTTATAGGAAATTTTATGTACCTAATTGTTTATTTCCTCTGGCCTGTCTCATTTATTTTACCTTCACCTAGTTGTTTGTTTTTTGTTTTCAGTTTTGGAGATTTTGTTTGTTTCCCCCCTTCCTTAGGGAAACATTACTTTCATCTTAATCTTTTATTATGGATGACACTGTAATGTTTCAGGATGCTGCAACCAAACTTAAGCTTCACAGTAGAAATAGCACCAACCAAACAGTCCCAACTTGAGAACATACCAAGCCTTTTTCAAGAAGGCCTGTCATGTAGTTACAAGGAAAGCTTAATTATGTGAAAGGGTACCTTTCCCTTGTGAGTCTAATGACAAAAATTTCTTACCTTTTTCTAGGGGAGAATGTTATGTAGCACGATCAGCCACCGCCCGTGGCATGTCTGGTCTTTCCTTTAGGAAAGGGAGGAGTACAGTGTGCGGCCTGTTTGTCTTGTGGGAGTGACAGGTAAAAGCAGGAGAGGAGGTTAGTATGATCTGTTCACCCACTTTTTTTTGTAGCCCCTTATTTCCTTGTTTTAGCAAAGACATTTCCTCTCAGAGGATAAAATAGCCAGAAAAATGAGAGGGGGTGAAATAATTAAAATTATTGACGATAAAAAGAGGGACAGTAAGAAATCACAAAATGTTTGGGTGTTCTTTTATTTTTTACTGTAAAGTTTGAAGGAATGGTCCTGGCCAACCCAATCTTTCTGTGTGAAAACTTGTCAGCTGGCTACCCATGAGGTGGGGAAGCAAGGTGGAATCACTCGAACCAGCCTCGAACAGCAGCCCTTCTGCCATCTCTTGTGATAGCTACCACACCTGAGAAGACACACTTCATGGATGGGGTGGAGGCTGGGAAACATTCTGTGTCAGAAAGTTACTCTGAACAGCAGTCCTACCCTTATCAAAATGACCAACACCCTGCTACGGGCACACTGGCTGGTGTGTGGTAAGGCTGTGCACACACTTGCTAATGAGGAACTTGCAGTGGGACTGCTTATTAATAGAAGGTGACTAGGGATATTGCAGCTCAGTGACACCCATGGAGAGTTGAAATCTCACTTTGCCAATTATTGTTGACTTACCTCATCCAGCTTTCCAAAGAGCCAATTTAGAAAAAAAACAAACAACTTTTTTATTATGGAAAATTCAAAACATGCAAAAGTAGAATCATATAATGGACCCTCATTTACCTGTCACCCATCATCAACAGTTATCAACACAAGACCAATATTAAGCCACCTTAAAAGAACAAAATTATGTTTTAAAATGCATCCATAAGAAGATGTACAATGAAATAATTTTTTTAAAACGCAGGAAAAGCAGAGCAGTGCACCCTTTAAAAACAGCGTGTTGGAGTTAAAATTTTTGAGAGTCACCGTAGCATTCAGTTGGAATCATATGCATATGAATGTGAGTTTGAATAAGCTATTTAACCTCTCTGGACCTCAGGTCCTTTATGTCTAAAAAGGCTCAGTAATACCTCTTACAGGCTTAGAATCAGGATTACATGGGATACATAAAACATGGCTGCTATTAATACGGGTCTTGCTGCTAATATTATAGTAGTGTTCTTAGCAGCTCTGCAGTTCCTGCTACTGAGCCAACAGTATGTGATCAAATGGGTAGATTTCTTAGAAATGAGGACACATACTAGTTCTGACAGAGAAAATGTTATCTGAAAACTTCTTCACCTATGGTTTTATATATAGACACCTGTGATAAATAATGGATGAGGGAAATTTTGATTTGTCCCGTGAACTTACTTAATGGTAAATTTATCAATGGTCTTATGGTAATCCCCTCATTTTACTGAACTTAGAAACTACTGATCCTCAAGACAAAACTAGTTTCTACCAAGAAACCATTGAACACCTAGTGGAGAAAAGGGTCTCTTTTCCTACAAAATGCCTCCTCTTTGCCGTGCCGTCAGTTTCCTGGATTTTAGTCTGTGGTGCTCGTCCTCTGTTTTGTCTGTGTTATCACCCTGGATTTTCATAACTTTCTCCTTTTTCACTTCCTGCTGTGCTCTGTCTCCTTTCAAAAGGATGCCTGTGAGGTTTTGATGTGTCAGGAGGGACAAGTAGATTTAAGACATGGATCATCCCTGAAGAAAAACTTACTGGAAAAAAAGAATCACAGCCTGGTTTGGGTGTGTAGAGTGCATCCCTGTCTTGCTTGAGTGTTTGGTTTTAAAGACAGACAGCTGGCGGGAAAGGGAAACCAACCAGCAGAACCTGATGTGGTTACTTTTGTTCAGGTGGCTGTGTGGAAGGGTGGAGACTAGTGTTTGTGCCTGGCAGTTGGCCAGAAGTACAGTGTAACTTAAACTATGAGAGCGGGTCACTGTGACAAGCATGGGTTTTAGCCAAGGGCTCTTGAGTTCCAACTGGACAAGAATCTGATTGGATTGACAAGAATCTGATGCTTCCAAGTTTTTTCTGAGGCATCAACATTGAACTTCCAAACAATGAGCTCTCTTTTGTGTAGTAAGATGGGAGTTACGATGGCTGCCGTTCACTGAGCACCTGCTGTGTGCCCTACTGTGAGTTAACGGAACACAGTCCCAGTTTTCCAGAACACCCCCATGAGGTAAGGTGGTGGCACTTCCATTTTGCAAAGAGAGAATTAAGATTCAAATAGTTTCAGGAACTTGCTCAACATCAAACAGTAAGTGACAAGGTTAACATTCAAATTCCCATCCCCACTGACTCGCCTCTGTGATCTGGATTCCTTTGTTTTGCCCTGCTCCATTCGTCCAGCCAAAATCCTGTGAACCTGTAGTTACATTTAGAGTTATATCTATTGCGGTGGTGATGGTTCTGTTTGTATTTATTGAGATGATTTAGGCCTAGGTTATAGACAAAGACGGGCATGGAACTGAGTGAAACTTAGTGAAACGTCCGCAGTGTCAGACCTTCATTTGTGTCTGGCTGTGGTTGCAAATGCACCCTCTCCTCCCACCACGCCCGCTCCCCATCCCCTTCATCCTATGGTAAGTGCTGTGGAAATGTTTGTAGGTCCTTTGCTCTATCTCTTCAAACTGTGCATAAATCATAAAAAACATGGGAGATAAATTATTTGGTTAGTGGGTGACCAGAAAAAATTGATCCTTTTTTTTTTTTTTTTTTTTTTAACACAAACAGGGTTGACAGTTTGGTAACCAGCTCTCTGAGAGAGCTTTAGCATGTTCCAAAAATTGGCAGTTAGCTCAAGAGTGAGCTAATTAGTTAGGAATTATTTTTTTATCCTCACTACCTTTAATAGCGTACCCTTGGAGAAAAGACAGATAATGAATACTTGGAAGTCTACAGTGCTATAACTTGAACTTCATGAAGTTTGGGGGAAGTAAGAAAGGTGACTCATGATTTATTATTTAAAATCCTCCTCTTAAAAAAATGTTGTTGTGAAAGACTTGACAAATAATGATTGCTCCCATTTAGGAACTATAGTTTAATCAAAGAAGCAGAAAACAGGAAGAACAGAAAACTTGTGTGACTAAGTAGTGTTTAATTTTATTTGAAAATTGTCTTACTTTTCTGGTGGTAGAAAGAGAAGGCCTTTTGCAATCTTCACCTGGTGAGAAACTGGGCTTGTGCCAGGGTGTAACAGAGTGGCACCCCACACCTGATATACTGCATAAATGCAGAGTCTACACATACTTCTTTTTAGATGCTTTCTCAAGGTAAGTCTTAAATGAGGGCCTAGGGCATTAAAAAAGCAGCTTGCAAAAGGTTGCCCAAGCACACCATGAGACAGCACTTAACTGAGCACCTAGAGAAAATAATTCATTGGAAACAGGCTCTGCTGGGAGACAGTTTGTTCCTGCCTGGGTCCCCAGTGCTCCCATTCACACACCTGGCTGCTGCTTCCTAAGCCTTCTTGGCTGGAGGTGTAAGTGCTTGTTTGTTTAAACCTCACTCAGCACTGGTTGGAAAAACAAAACAACACACTTACTTGTCTGGGCATTGACTCTTCTTCCTGAATTTCTGTCCTGCCCATTGGCCCAGAGGCATAATGGGTGGGGTGAGTTTCGGCGTTAGTTTGGGGAGTTTCGAGAATGGGCTGTGGGCTGGGTTGTTAGGTTGGGGTTGATGTTGGTTTTAACCATATTAGAACATCTGAGGGTAAGGAGCATTGCCATAGATGGGGCGATAGGAGTTGTCATGCTCTGGCTCTGCCTCTTTCTCACAGGTGACAAGAGATGCACCTGGGGAGGCATATTACAAGGCCCTGACAGATGTTAAGTAACCCTCATCTATGTGTTCTCACCTGGACACCTGGAAGGTGTGCAGTATAGAAAAATCACCAGTTAGGTGAGATGCACGCTTAAAGTGTACTCCCTCCCCAGCCATGGCTACCTATTTTCATTTCCGCCCCTGTGCTGATGCTGCCAGCGGGTGAAGGTAATACACCCCTGGGACCTGGGCAGAAGCAGTTCTTTGGAAACCCAGGGTTTGTCACCTGTGGTAACTTCACTCTGGGCGATTTACCTAACCTTCTATTCCACATTTCAAGTATTGCAAATTCATGTAGTGGATAGGTTTTTAGAAGAAACGATGTCAACAACCCAATATGAAGCTCTTGGGTTGCTTCTCCTCTAGTCAAGTTGCTCAGGATAGTACTGCTTTGCTCTTTAAAGAACTGGCACAATGTGAGCGGCCAGAAAAATCAGTGCTCCAGAGGGCTGCCCTGTCTCTACCCTTATCTCCTTAGGTTTGTTCAGAGCTGCTCAGTGTGGCTGATCCCATCTTGCTCAGCATCATACAACCTGGAATCTACTACAGTATCCTCTTTTTCTTGAAGGCAGTATTGTACAGTAATTCCCA